TTACCTCAAAACTTGCATTCATTGTCTCATATTGTTTCTGGGGATTAGGAATCTGGAAGCAGCTTAGCTGGGTAGTTCTGGCACAGGGTCTCCTGGAGGTTGTAGTCAAGCTGTCGGTTGAAACTGAAGTCATCTGAAGTCTTGATCGGTTCCGGAGGATCAGCTTCAATCTCACTCAGATGTTTGTTGGCAGAAGGCATTATCTGCCTGCCATGTGTGTCTTTCTGTAGGACTGCTTCCAACATGGCAGACCTTTCCCAGAGCAAGCTATCTAAGAGAGAAAGCAAGGGTTACCAAGACAGATGCCACAGTGTCTTTTATAACCTTATATTGAAAGTGACATACCATAACTTCTGTCATATTCTATTGGTTACATAGACCAACCATGGTATAGTGTAGGAGGGGACTGCATAAGGGCGTGAATGCCAGGAGCAGAGATCACAGGGAGCTGTCTCAGGGCTGGTTACCTCTGCCTTCAAATAGTTTTCCTCAGCAATGCCACAGACACTTTTTTATTTATTTTTATTTTTATTTTTTTGCTTTAATTTTAGATGAGAGCCAGGAGGTTTTGAAATGATCATAGTGGTTTATAATGTACCAGCAAATGAAAGGCATCTGAGCATCAAGATAAATGCCTGAGTGGGGTCTACTAGCCACTTGAAAAGCATGTGGCTCCGCATGCCTAAGAAATCCACAGCTGACTTTAGTAAAATCTCAACTATTAAATATTGCAGCTCTGCACTTTAACAAAGTGCAAAGGACAGAAGTTGTCTCTCTATATTAACAAGTAAGAATGGTTAGCGGATAAGGCATGGTTTACAAATCTGTGTTTATGATTGGGGTCTGGCTGAAAAACAGCAAGAATAAACCATACAACCTGGGAAGTCTAATTCTAGCCGGAAATTGCTTTGAAATAACATCAGAATTCATTCACTCCCCAACTGATTTTTCTTGGATGACCAGTTTGGACACATCAATAAAATGTCCTGTCACTTACCATATTTTATTTTCTTACAGCATTTCCTACTGATGGAAATTCTAATGGTGCCTTCTTACAGCAGAATCCACACTCTGATTTAGATTTGCCAAGCCGATTGGTTTTGGCTAAATTTCTTGCCCAAGTGCAGGCCCTTATGGTTTGAGAGATCTCATTTAAAGATCCCTAAAGAAAAATATGCAGCCTTTACTGGCTTGGATTTGTAGCTCCAAATTTTAGAAGAAAGCGGCCGGTTAACGTTATAGACATTTTGAAGTACTTGTCTTTCAGAAATGCGAAGAACAATAGCAAGAAAAGCCTTTTGATGGTTCAGACTTTATTTTATTTTATGTACTTATTAATTGGTACACTTTCTCCCCCATTTTAACCAAAGATTCTGTACATTGAAACAATAAGTAAAGACATGTGTCTGCTTTAAAATCTTGATATTGGTTAAGTCTCCGTAGTCCTTTTTCATGCTTTCTGGGAAAAGGCTCTTCTGTTCTCTCAGCCCAGCAGTACTTTGATCTCAGAAGCAGTGCCATTTGGTTGTAAATGTATGTGGTGCCTTTGATCTACTACTTAGCTGGTCTTATTTAAAATAGATAGCTTCTTTCATCTAAGTAGTGTTTACTAGGTCTCTGTCTATGAAAAATGGCTTAAATTGCCATTATTTAGATAGAGAGTTATGTAAAGTTTCTTAGGATTGCCCAGATCTGAGTGTAGTTCTCTACGCTCTAAAAGCCCAATGGCTCTATTATAGATTTTATAAAGCAAATTCCTATTAAAATGGGCTACTCCTACAGATGTCAGGTAATATTTGCAAAAACTTTGTTTGCTTTTTGATAGGAAACTGATTTTCCAAAGAATAATAAGCATATCCTACACTCAGGCAAAAATGATCATTTTAGACTGTCTGAACTTAATGACCAATTATCCCTCTGAAAGTCACACATTAATATATTTTTATATTACTGCATTTTACATACCACATAGGGTATATTGAAATGGGATTTTTTTTTAAATAATGAGTATATATATTTAATTCTCTTCTTTATGAGGATTTCTTGAACATTTTGTCAGGTGCCTTAATGACTTGTGTTTGAATTTTCCAGGCCTATTCAGTTATTCATTCAACAAACTATATTTCAAGTACAGAGACACAAAGATGACTTAGTCACAGACTCTGCCTTTAGGTTGCTCACAGCCTAGGGTTGTGGGGCAGAGCACTAATAGATAATTTCATGGCAGTGTGGTGAATGCCTCTCATGGACAGCGATCCTCCCACCCTGGCCTTGGGAGTGGTCATGGAAAACTTTCTGGAAGACCTGGCACCTGAGTTTCATTGCAAGCCTGCCAACTCAGAACTCAATGTCCCATAAATTCCCAGTCAAGTCCATAAGGCAAAGTCGACCTATCTGTCCAGACCCATCTAATTTAATACAAGTGTCCTAAACCTTAGGAGAGGTCTAAATATTCTATGACTTTTGCTGCCTGAAGCAACCCCAAAGCCTTCTTAATTGTCATTCAACTCTAAGGAGAAAAACCCCAAACCACTTTTAAAACTTTTGCACCATTCTTTATTTAAAAGGAGATATTGGAACTCTCTTTGTGTTGTAAACTAAAATAGCTGTGTATATTGCTATTTTTGTTAGGTTACTGACACGTGTCTTTTTCCATCCTTTTTGGTGTCCTGTTCCTATTTTAGAAGGCTTGTCATTACTTCATCTGAATACTAACCACATGTGAGCATTTCCAAGGGCTGACCCTGGGAGTAGGCACTCTGAAGGACGCTCAAGAAATATATAAGTGGCCCTTCCCAGGCCTGAAGGTGGGAGAGGAGCAGGAAGAAGTAATCTGTAGTCAAGTAAGGGATCATTACAGTAGTAGTCACACTGTCCAAAGAGGGAGGTTGAAGCAGGAAAATCAGAGGAGGCTGGGGGCCTGACCTCAGGGGACTCATACAGGGTTCGTGGAGATGGAGAGGAGAGGCCAGCCTCTAGAGGATACAAGAACATGAGTTTGGAGCATTCCTCAGTCAGTGCAGGGATGGTCAGTATGGGGCAGATGAGGTAGAGGCGAGGATGTGTGGAAAGCAAACTGAGGGGGTTTAGCTTTTTCGCAGTGGAGTTACTGAGTCTTTGAGGCTGCAAAACGTGAAAATAAAGTGGGATCTTTGATACTTGCCCTGTTCTTTCACATCAGTCACCAAACACTACTGATTCTGAGAATTATGCATTTTAGGTGGTAGGAATCCTAGAGATCAGAGAGCCTGGCCTTCCCATTTGTCCAATGAGGAAATAAGTCCCGAAATTGAGGAGGCCTGTGTCTCACAATCACTAAGTAGCAGAGCCAGGGGTGTCGGTCCACCCTGTTGACCAGGACCTGAGCCTGAGCTTCTCTTCCTGGGGCTTGTTTCCCACCAGGAGTTTTGGAGTAGGGTCTAGGACCCTTGATAGTTCACAGGAACTTGTAGGAGAAATAGCATCTCACCGTCCAGTAGGCGTGGGCTCCAAGGACAATGAGTTCTCATAGGGCTTCATCCCTCTATATGGAACCCCAGGAGTCCACACCAAGCCAGAATTTGAATAAGAGGAGCTGTAGTTGATAATAAAAGAGAGAGGATAGAAAAGAATCAGGATACATTGAGCAGACCCATATGAGCCACAGGAAATCCAGGTTAGTAGAATAGAGAGCAATATTACTTTTAGGAGAATTTTTTTTAATGAGTTGCTAATCATAGTCTGCCTATGGTTCCTAACTTCAGAAAGGCCAAATGAAGCATGTCCCACCCACTGTGTGGACTGAGAGCAAGGTGGACATGGCGGTCCTCCAGTTGCTGGAGTGGTGGGGGTTGAGAGGGATGGGGTAGCTGGGTGATGGACATTAGGGAGGGTATGTGCTATGGTGAGTGCTGTGAATTGTGTAAGACTGATGAATCACAGACCTGTACCTCTGAAACAAATAATACATTATATGTTAAAAAAATTCTAAAAAAAAAAGAAGATAGTAGGAAGGGAAAAATGAAGAGAGGGAAATCAGAGGGGGAGATGAACCATGAGAGACTATGGACTCTGAGAAACAAACTGAGGGTTCTAGAGGGGAGGGGGGTGGGGGATGGGTTAGCCTGGTGATGGGTATTAAAGAGGGCACGTTCTGCATGGAGCACTGGGTGTTATACGCAAACAATGAATCATGGAACACTGCATCAAAAGCTAAGGATGTACTGTATGGTGACTAACATAACATAACATAACAACAAAAAAAAAGAAAATCAGGGAACTGTTATTAGAGGGAAAGTGGGATAAATGCTGGAAAAGCCAAAACAATAGATTTTAACAGCAGCTCCCTTGTCCTGAACTGGACATGTGAGTACATATAAGAGTGGGATAGTCCCATAGAATATTACCATGTGCCAGGTATTCTCAGTGCTTCATGTATATTAAATAATTGTGTCTATCCTCAGCTCGATGACATAAGCATTACTATTATTCCCATTTACAGAGGAGGAAATTGAGACACAGAAATGTTAACTTGCCCACAGTCTTTTAGCTAACAAGTATACCATAGCTGGGATCTGAATCTAAGCAGTCTGACTCCAGAACCTGTGTTCTTAATTACTGTGTTAAAAATATCTCCCATTTTCCTTCTTTCCTTAAATTTTTTCCCTCTGAGATAAGAATTTGAGGAAGGCCCTAAAAATGAATGTACTCACCAAGTACATAATAGTAGCTATTATTATTTTTATTATTAGTTATTAACAGTATGCAAGTTTGTGGTGCAGAGGAGACATTCAAAGACTATAAAATAAGACAAAAATGATTTGAAGACCAGCCAAAACATTTGCATGAACTCTATGGCAGAAGGAAAATCTGCATGATCTTCAGGGGATTAGCAATGGGTAAGAAAGAATAGGTGTAGAGTAAATGTACGAATGAAAATGTTCAGAAATCCATTGAGGCAGTGATAAAAATGGTGAGATGCTGAATCCTCTAATGATTCCTTTTCTCCTTCCTTTCTCAAGTGCTGCTTAAGTAGAGCTGAAGCCAGACGGGATGCAGCTAAAGTGGCCCTAATCAACTCCCTCTTCAATGAGCTGCCCTCTCGAAGGATCACTAAGGAATTCATTATGGAGAGTGTGCAGGAAGCAGTTGCCTCCACCAATGTGAGTACCCACTAGGGTAGAAAGCTGGATGCACTGAGACACCAAGGCGGTTGAATCTGGGGAAATACTAGAGTGAGCAAATTCTTTGAGGATTGTGCAAGTTTGGGAAGACTGGCTGGCTTGGTCGGGAGTTTCAGCCTCACACTGGGCAGAGAGTTTACTTTAAAAAAAAAAAAAAAAGAATTGTGCAGGTTTAATTTTTACCCATGAAATCATTGATTTTCAACAAAATGAACACTTGGATTGGAAATCAAAAAACTGGAGCTGGTTCCCTATGCCACATGTCAGAAATATTTTTTAGCTGCCCTGGATGACCATTAATCAAATTTTAAATCAAAGTAGATAATTTGATCCATCCTGATTTGTTTATTTGAATGTTTGCTGTTTGAAAAGTATTGATACTTTTAGGGCCTGGGAATGCATGTAATTGAATACTGCTTTAATCTAGAGATAAACTAGCTCATTTTTTCCCCAAACTTGACTAGTCATAAAAATTATCCTAAGTGCTTATTAAAAGTGCCAATTCCCCAACCAGAGTGGGGGTCCAGCAGTCTGTATTTTTAAGGAAAGGCTGACTCCTTAGGCATGGAAAAGCCATATGCCCAATATCTGTTAGCCCTTAGAATTATCATGCTTAATATTAATTCTTTCAGAGAGCTGAAAATTTTTTTTCAGAGAAAATTTCTGTTAATGGACACAATTAATGCAAAGTGCTTTAAGAGCAAAAACTCTTGTCTTAGAAATTTAGGTAGAATATTTTCTCAGCAATCTAGGAGTAGATAATTTGCCTCATGAATTATTTAGAACATCTGATACTTGATACCTACCAACTACAAACAATGGAGGAAGCCTTGGTTTCCCACTGGGGCAGGTATGTCCCTGTGTGTCCTCCAAAGGCAGAAACTTGGCATTACTGAGGGCATTAGCCACCTCCTGGCTTTGCTTTTAGCACAGATAAACCCCATCTGAGATTTACATTCATCACCTTAATCTGATTATAAAGGTTCTGTAATTTTGGAGAAGCTGCTGAAAATGAAGGACACATTGTCACACTAGCGGGACCCTTTTGTTCCTTTTCCCCTCATACATGCTCTTGTCGCCCACAGAAGAGTTAAGAGACGGGGCAGGGGACAGAGAGAGGCTGACCTGGGAGGAGACCTCGGAGATCTCTGTTCTGTATCTGCTGTCAGGATGAAAGGAAGCTTTTATTTTCGTGATTTGTAAATTTCAAGGGCCTTTGAGGAAGAGAAGTTAGGAAAATGATGCCTGATTTATATGTGTGGAATTTACTCAGGAGCAAGGAGGGGCCCTCAATGTAAATGTAATTTATCATTTTTTCATGGAAATTTCTAAGGAAAGAGAATATATAAGGTTTGCAGGCTTCTGGATGGATTTCCTCTGGGATATTTAAAAAGCCAACATAAATATTTCAGCAGCAGCATGTTAATGTTATTGCATTCAGAAGCCATAAATTGGCTGCTATCGGATGCTGGCAGTTGTTTGTTCAGCCTCACAAAGGCATTGCCCACCTTCCCAGAAATCCGAGGCCCTGGGATCCTGCAGGGTAGGCCCCAGTGCCAGTCCAGGACTTGTGTTACCTTTTTTTTTACTGCCACTATCCCAACCAAATTGAAGGTCAATTTCATTTCTATTCATCACCCCACGCACCTTCTTTTCTAAAGATTAAGTAGTCTGGAAGTGAAAAAAACACACACCAAGATCTATGTCTCCAAGTCAAACACCAGCATATTATAAAAAGCTCCCATTAAGAATCAGGGCAGTGCGGGGGGGGGGCGGTTAGCCTGGTGATGGGTATTAAAGAGGGCACGTTCTGCATGGAACACTGGGTGTTATACACAAACAATGAATCATGGAACACTACATCAAAAACTAATGATGTAATGTATGGTGATTAACATAACATAATAATAAAAAAAATAAAAAAAGAATCAGGGCAGTAAAATATGAATGGTCCAAACAACCAGAGAATTCTTTCCCTGTCAATGATATAATCTTGCCTGGTTACCATCAAATCAGAACAAGGTCAGCATTTCAAAGATTTCAAATGACAGATGAAGGCAGCCTTCCAGAGGGCAACCACTCAAACATTACCACCATCTAACAGCAAAAACTTTGTGCAAAGATACAGAAATTTCTACTTTGGGAAAATTATTCTTTTAGCAAATATATAATCAGTTAACATTCGAATGAATGTTCAAATTGATTACAAAAATCCTCTTTATTCTGAGTCATGGTGAGATTAAGAATTTTATCCCAGATCAACTGGAGCCTTGGTTGTAGAATGCACACCTGAAGGCTCAATATAATAGAAGTTTTACTGTAGGGCCACAGCATTAATTCGTGGCCACCAAAGAAGGGGAAGGAAAAATCCATAATATTTTCCTTTTCTGCTTTCTTCCCAAGGGCACTTTGGATGATGCAGATGACCCCAGCACCAGCATTGGAGCCTACCATTACATGTTGGAGTCAAATATGGGGAAGACCATGCTGGAGTTTCAGGTACCTGACTTCTTGCTACGTGTTTATTTTGGTACACAATTCAGAAACCTGGGAGAATGCCACTCTTATCATTAACATCTCCTGTCCCAATAATCTAGTCTTTTTTTGTTTTGGTCATTTTAATTTAACTCTCTTCAAATACAGCATGGTAGCTCTGTCTAAGCCATACCTCAGGAGACTAAAACAAACAAGCAAACAAGGCAGTCTTTGCGTTCTTAAAGCGGAGTAAAACACTTGAGTCTAAGAAACAGCTGGGGAACACCACCACCTGAAGACCTGTAACATTTCACCAGCTTTTCAGTACAAAGTTCCCTTTTAAGTCAAATTAAACAGTTTGAAGTGTTGGTTGTGACCATTTGGTTCTTAATTATCCGAAGTCATAGAAGAAGTTATCTGTAATGTATATTAAACAATGCCCCCCTCAGTTCTGGTATTTCCATTAAACAAGATCTGCCACCACCCATTGTTAACTAGATCAAAACATTCAGCAAACTGTAACCCTGTTTCATCCATTGCTGACAAGTGATATTAATAGAGCTGAGGAACTACACTACCTATTATTTGCAAATTAAATAGCTACCTTAATAACATTAACAATAAGAATAATAATAGCCGACACTGATTGGATGCTGACACTGTGCTCGCTGTGCTAAGCATTTAACACATATCATAGCTTAACACTCACGATAAACATGAGTATTTACTATCCCCACATCATCATTGTAGGAAGTGTGCCATATAGCTTAGTCAGTTGCAGAGCAAGGACCCACACAGTCTGATTTCTGAGCTCACACCCCCAACTGTTATCTTTTATGGGCTGGGCAGATGAAAGTTCAGTAGTGATTGGGCATGAAATGTGTGCCCTCTAAAAAAACTAACCTTGAATGTTGAATATCCGTATTTATACAATGCTAGTAGGAATCAATACACAGTGTTATAATGAAGAGACTCTGCCCCCAGTCTTTCTATTGCTTTAGGTTAAATTCCCAGAAGTCATCAGAGATATAGTTTTATGGACCAAAATGTTCATCACGGTGTATTTACAACAGTGTTTCATCTGAGCCCTGAAGCCACCAGCTTTCAACTACCTTTCAAACTGTTTTCTGGACTGCAATGGCATACAGCCACTTTGCAGGTGGATACATCCCTCCTGTCCATTTTTTAAAAAATCAGTGGTTTCCCTCATTAGTCCCTTGTTTGGAAGAAAAATACTCTCTCTTCATTTGGTCATCAAGTTTTCTTTTAAGTGGCAGGTCTCACTGACTTTTGATGTTGATTGCCTTGGGTTTGAAGAGACCAGGTATCTCTAAAGCCTACCCTCTGGAATAAACAGAGGCATGCATGAGTTCAGTGATTCTGAGCCCAGACTCTGAAGTGGGCTGGTCCAGGTTAGCTTGGCTCTACTTTTCACCTCTAAATCTGTTTCCTCATCATATGTAAATTAGGGAGACTAATAGTACTGGTGCTACCTCCCAGTGTCAGTGTGAGCATTAAACAGGACAATAATTGAAAGAGTCCAGAACAGTTCCTGGCATATGGTGAATACTCACTGAAGATTGACAACTGTTATTATACATACTTCTGCAGAAGGACGGCTTCACTTGAAATGCCAAAGACTACCGCATGGATTCCCTTGACAACTTTATCTAACTTAAAGTTTTCAAATGAGAACAAGGCAGCTCCCTGCCAACATGTCAGGGATCTTGGCTGTAGAATAAAAGAGTGGAACTATAAAGGGTCCATGCTTTCCCCCCATAATGATCTAAAGTCAAACGGAAAAAAACAAAAGGGAGGAGCATAACACAAGGAAAGAAGACCAATTTTTAAAAACTGAACAGAACTATGTGTGAAACCTGCTCTACCACTTCCTGCCTGGGCATGTAATTATCTGAGACTCAGTTTTCTTTCTTTTTTTTTTTTTTTAAGATTTTATTTATTTATTTGACAGATAGATAGAGAGCACAAGTAGGCAGAGTGGCAGGCAGAGGGAGAGGGAGAAGCAGGCTCCCTGCTGAGCAGGGAGCCGGATGTGGGCCTGGATCCCAGGACCCCAGGATCATGATCTGAGCCGAAGGCAGCCGCTTAACCGACTGAGCCACCCAGGCACCCCCTGAGACTCAGTTTTCTCATCTGTAAAATAAGAATCATAACGCCCATTGGGTAGGATTTTTTTGGAATTTACATAACATGACATTTATAAAGTATCTAATATAGTAATTTTGCCAAGGAAGAACCCCATTTATTTTAATTCCTACCCTCTCGACCCCAACAAAAGAATATTGTACTTCTCTTATTATAAAATGAATGTTGCCTGCCATGGTACATAGTAGCTTGTATGTAATTTAGTAGCTATTTTCAGAAAATTAAGAATGATTTTTGAATGCAATTGAGTTAGTCTGCCAAAGATGGGGAAGGCAAGATTAAAAAACAATTCTTAAAATTTTGTCCAAGTACTATGAATGGCTGTACTCAACCACCTTTTAGTAATTCTTAATTACCTTGCGATGGGCTGTTTGTTTTCTGTGTGGTCTATGTCGTATTTAAATATGTGAAATAATAACTTGAATCAAACTGTGGAAATGCTTCATAAATTCTCATAAAAGAGGCTGGGAGCAGGATGGGGGACACAGGAAGAGGAAGATGTGAGGGCAGGAAAAATCCAAACTCACTCCCCCAGTAGGGATGCTGGCAACTCAGGAGGAGGGCCATGGAGCACATCCCCTTTCCTTCCGCCAGTTCGTGGTTGCCTGCTGGGTCCCAGCACATTCCTTGGTGGCCAGGGTTAAATGCATCAGCTTGTTTCTGCACGTAATGGGAATTGACCACAGACCCGGGCTGTTTGCAGCCGACACAGCAATTCAGTACCCCTGGTGGGTAATAGATGTGTGTCTGTATCTAGCTACGGATGACTATACCATATAAAAACAAGGCTGGTGTCTCCTGACTGCCTGCAGGCTTTCCAGGGGGGCTGTCAAGGAGGCAGCACTCAGAGGAAACATGATAGGCTTCTGCTTACGTTTACTTCGTGGGAGGGAAGCAGAGTAGCCTTGCCATACAGAAAATTGCCTGATGTTTGTGGGGGAGGGATGGCAACAGCACTAGTCACTGGGTCTTGTCAAGGTCAGATCTGAGACGGACTTTGACTGAAGCTGGTTAATATATTTATTCTGAAGCCTAATGCAGTCCAAGGACGAGTTGTTTATTTACATCTTTGCTAAATTCTCCAGGTCGCCTTTTAAAACCTCATCCCATAAACAGATTTCCTCTTAAATCCATTCTCTTGGGTAGGGAGATGGTGCCCACCTGTTTTTCAAGTTCTCCATTTACAGTGTTTGTTTTTCTTATTTCTGATGAATCACAGAACCAAGCGAGTCTCCCAGACAAAGTTCCAGAGAGAAGCAGAGTGCATTTTCTCCCCACGAAGTAGCTGAAAGGGCAAACATTATTCCTAATAGGAGGCAACACCAGGAAGCACTGTGAAGACAGAGCCCAGCTGTCGGTGGTTTAAACTGAATGAATGATGAACCAGGAAAGCTGTAGGCTGAAAGCTACAACTTGCAGAAATCACAGGGCTTGCTTCTCCATTTGATTTCAAATTTATTTTATGATCAGGACTGGCCATATAATTCTTGGGGCCCATACAAAATGAAAATGCAGGGCCTTTTGTGAAAAAATTACTAAGAATTTCAAGTCAGTGGAGCATGAAATCAAGCTTGGGGTCCTGTGTGACTGCACTCATCACAAGTTCATGAGGCCAGCATTGTCCCTGAGACAGACTCACCAGAAGGGACCAGACTAGGGTAAAGAGAGTTAGGCCTTCACCTCAGGCACAAAATTTAAAGGAGTGTTAAAAAACTCAGTCATCAAGACAATATAATGCACTATTTTAAAAACTCAAAATGAATGTGAAAAAATTTGTTAACAAAATGTCAAAATTTTAAATAAAGACAGAATTTTTTTAAAGATTTTATTTATTTGAGAGACAGAGCACAAGTGGAATGTAAGGGCAGAGGGAGAAGCAGGGTCCCCACTGAGCAGGGAGCCTGACGTGGGGCTCGATCCCAGGACCCTGGGATCATGACCTGAGCTGAAGGCAGACGCCTAACTGACTGAGCCAACCAGGCGTCCCTAAAGACAGAATTTTAAATAAAAGAACCTGAACTTTCATGATTCACCTTAAATCTTGCTTCACGCACCTCACCCTCCCTGATATTTGTGGGGGAGGGATGGCGACAGCACTAGCCACTAGTCCCAACCCAACCTATAGGCCAGCTTCTTGTTTATCTGTCAAGCCTACCAAAATTCCCTGGGGTTCTACATCAGCCACATAACAAATAACACAGCACAAAGACTTGAATGAGGAGCAGGACAGATAGCTCACCAAACAGATTTCCTTTAAAGTGATAAGGCTTTGACAGATAGAAAACAGAACTGTGAAAACCAGGCAGCAAGGAATCTTGGTGAAACTAGGAAATCCTTACTGAAGTCCACAACCCTCTCCTTGCCAGTCTACAATAATGCAAGGATTTCCGATGGAATCAATGAGAGCCATACAAGGATTTCGTGGGTTCATACAGCTTCGGGAAGATCTGAGGATAGTGAATTTGGTCTTATGACAGGAAATAAAGAAGTGGGACAGGAAGAATGTGGAAATATTTCAATATACGTTACATAGTGATGGTAAGATTAGTATCTCTACAGAGGAGGGCAAGAACTAGATTGGGACATAATGTACAAAGGCAGAAAGAAGGTCATTTTCCCTGTGGGATTTTAGGAACAAGAACAACACTAAGGAAGAGGCAGTTGTGTTACAGCAAAAACTCCTTGGGGATGGAATAGAAATTTAGGCAAACCAGAAGGGGTGTGAGGGATGACTCTCGGGCAGTCAAAAACAGTTCAAGTCTCTGTGGGGAAGTTTTTGAGAGACGTAGGTTGCCAAGGGACATGAGAATGGTTTCTGGCTTTGTTCACAGCAGAATTGTGGGTTCTAAAGTCTTAGGAAGATTGCTGGGTAGAATGGGAGTTTATCTGGAAGGGGGGCAATGGTTAGTATATAAATAAGAATGAGAGCTTAGAAGACATTGGAGGAAGAATATGTTACTAAGGAACTAATTGTCAGAGGAGGGAATTAAGAGCCCTATAGGCTGTTTCTCTAACTGGGCCACAGGGTTACAAGGACAATACCAAGAGGGCTATTGAAAGTCACACAAGAACTCAGTATATCTTTCTGGGTTATACTGAGTTTAACCATTATAAACTTGGGTTGGGGGAAGGTGGAGGACTGGAGGTGGTATTTATTATTTTTAAAAATGGACATTACAATCGAATGCAAAATTCAAGTGGAGTCTTAAAACATTAAATGAAAAGAAATGTCTTATTTGGAAATAGTGGCCATTCTGTAACACCACAGAGACTGTTCCCTATCAGGACATAAAAAGTGTTCCTTTTCATTTTTCTGGCTACAAAGTCTTTAGTGAGTAGGTTAAAGGTACAGGGAGAAAGGCAGCATAGATTTACCCTCCTCGGTCACTGGGGTTACTTTGATGAGAAGCACAGGGGTGAGAAGCAGATTACTTAAGATTGGGCCATAGAACTAACCATTCTCACTGTTGCAGATTATCATAGTGATGTGACAGAGTGCAAATCTGGACGGGGCAGAGAGAAGTGGAGGAGAGAGGGAGGGCATGAGAGGGACGGCTTCCCTGGGCAGTGGGCTCAGGACCCTAAGCAGATAGTGGCATCTCTGTTTGGGGCAGGAGGAGTAATTCCCCTGGTATCCATGTCGTATTTTATTTTATTTTATTTTATTTTATTTTATTTTATTTTTTTAAAGATTTTATCCATTTATTCATGAGAGACAGAGGGAGAGACAGAGGGAGAGAGAGAGAGAAGCAGAGGGAGAAGCAGGCTCCCAAGGAGCAGGGAGCCCGATGCGGGACCCGACCCCAGGACCCTGGGATCATGACCCTAGCCGAAGGCAGACGCCCAACTATCTGAGCCACCCAGGCGCCCTCCATGTCGTATTTTAATTAATGGAAACACATGGTTTTGCTTTTACTGAGGTCTCTCTGGGCTCTTCGAGTGCTTACTGTACAGTAGAAAATAGACAAAATCCCCAACTGAAAAGAAAAAAAAAAAAAAACCATTACATTCTACTGGCAATTTCAGACATAAGAATGGTGATATTTGCTCTTCTGATCATCTTATAGCTTTAAAATTTACCTAATAATTTTAAGATGTCTGAAATATCAGAATGTCTTAGGTCTCCTCATTTTCATAATTTAAACTTTTTCCTGAGCAAGCAGAGGGAAAGACAATAAAAATCAGTTTTTTTGAATGGTCAGTAAAACAACTGTCTAAATGTTTAGTTTTCATAACTAGTGTCATGACCAAAAATTTCCTTAATTTCCTTAATTATATTGTGTCTATGTGGTTTATACTGTTAAGCCATGATAGGTGTTTCTCTGACCAAAAAAGAAAAAAAAAATGCAGATAGCTTCAATGGAAGACTGCCACTTCTAATCACATTAGGAAAATAAAGTCTTCAGAGTTTATAGTTTAGCTTGCCCTTGATATCATGAAGGGAAAGGATGCTGATTGAAGCTTAATGCCGTGCTCAGCCCTGGCTATTGGATGTGGAAACTAGGGATTGGTTTCGATGTCAATTCAACCTGATTATCCATATTTTCAGGAATTTTCCTGACTGAATTTATAAACGTAGGAGCATTTTACAGTTTCTGTAGTTTGTCCATTATATGTTATCTGTATTTACTTTTTGGCCAAAATTTTTAAAAATTTAAATGGTTTTCTTTAACATATAATATTGTCACATGATTCAAAACTCCAAAGGTACAAAAGAATGTCAGTGGGTGGTCTCCCTCACACTCCTGCCCCACAGGCATTCCCGTTCCCACCCTTAGGGACAACTATGTTACCCAGTTCTTTTGTATCTTGCCAGAACTCTCATAGGCATTTACAAGCAAATATTTAGAGGGATTTTCTATTCCTTTTTAATCAAATACTAGCACACAGTATATATGTTGTGCACCTTGCTTTTCTTTTAACACCACATCACAGAGATTCTTTATATTAGAACCTAGAGGGGGACGCCTGGGTGGCTCAGTTGGTTAAGCATCTACTTTCAGCTCAGGTCATGATCCTAGGGTCCTGGGATCGAGCCCCGCATCGGGCTCCCTGCTCCGCGGGAGGCCCTCTTCTCCCTCTCCCACTCCCCCTGCTTGTGTTCCCTCTCTCACTGTGTCTCTCTCCGTCAAATAAACAAAATCTTAAAAAAAAAAAAAAAAAGAACCTAGAGAGCCTTCTCATTCATACTTCTCTATGAATGAAAGTATTCAGTGGTATGACTGAATTGTAGGGGAGGAAAAATAATTTTCCCTCTATGCTTCTGAGTTCTTAGCTGAGACTCCTGTAATAAAAGACAGATTAGTAAGAGAAAAACAGAACTTTATTAACACATATACCTCATGTATACATGAGAGATACTCAGGGGAAAATAGTATCTTTCTGAGGTGGCTTGGAATTTAGGATCGAATACCCTCGTAATAGGGAAAGAGGAAGGGGGAAGGCCTCTTAGGGGATAGCAAATGATTCTTAAGAAAGATGAGTGGGCCCTTAGAAGAATAGATGGGAGGTATGTTAGTCTATGTCTTCTTCTATGATAAGGGTCAATCTTCCCTAGTTGATGAAATTCCTCAGGAAAGGATTTATCATAATTGGGTTCCTTTGGGAAGATGTGTCTTTAGGCAGGTAAGGGGAGTTCAGAGAAAGCCTTTCCTTCCATTTGCTGTTTTTCAAGTGCTTACAGCTTAAAATAATTAATATACCAAAGTGACATGTTTTTAGGGTGGCATGTCCTGAACTCATATTTTGGAGGCAGCAAATTCTGCTACTCTTCAGTATCATCCTTTTTTTAAACTATTGCTTTCAAAATGAGCATTTAAGGAGTGCCTGGGTGACTCAGTTAGCTAAGCATCTGACTCAGTTTTTGGCCCAGTTCATGATCTCATGGGTGGTGAGATGGAGACTTACATTGGGCTCCATGCTCCCTGGGGAGTCAGCTTGAAGATTCTCTCCCTCTGCCCCTCCTCCCACTCACACACACTCTCTAATGCATAAATCTTAAAAAAAAATTTTTTTTAAGATTTTATTTATTAGAGAGAGAGAGCATGAGCAGGGGGGAGAAGCAGACTCCCAGTTGAGCAGGGAGCCTGATGCAGGGCTCAATCCCAGGACCCTGGGATCAAGATCTGAGCTGAAGGCAGATGCTTAACCAACTGAGCCACCCAGGTGCCCCTAAAAAATATTTTTGACAATGTCTACCTCAAGCTGACCCCATCTAATTAGATGCAGGAACTGGAATCAGCTGGGAAAATAGTAAATTTATTTTCCACCCTACAATCAGAAAATTGCACCATTCTGTAAACTAAAAGCAGAGGTTCTCCCTTGGCCAAAGGCAGTTTTCCCCAGCTGGTCAAAACTGCCCACTTCTCCTGGAATGGCATGGAACCTACAGCAAAAGCAACAAAAATCAGAATCTTTGCCGTTGCTGAGCCCTTTGATGCTCATTTATAGCAAATCAATGTCAGCTAAGACATAAGGTACATCAGTCAATACCTGTCAGTACATCACTTAAACATTTATAATTCTGGACCCAAGAAGAGCCAGGTTGAAAAGCAGAGTAGATTATTACTATTTTTCCTTTTCTGTATCTTGTTCTCAGTGATACACTGTGTTGAAGAGGATTACAGTGGAGGATTTTCTATTTAAATAAATAAATAAATCCTTAAAAAATAAAAATAAGCATTTAATATATTTCCAGCCTCAGGCAATTAAAAAAAAAACAGTACAATAAATAACTTTACCTATACATTATTCTGAGATGTGCTGATATTTTTAGATAACCTCTTGGGTGTAGAAATGTTAGAGCATATGTATTGGTATTATTTTACTTTTTACTTATTTATTTATTTATTTTTTGGAGAGTGGGGGGTGGGGGTAGTTAGAGGAAAAGAAGGAAGAGAGAGAATCTTAAGCAGGCTCCATGCCCAGTGCAAGCCCGATGCAGGGCTCAATCTCACAACCCTGAGATCAAGCCCTGAGCCAAAATCAAGAGTCCGACACTTAACCAAATGAGCCACCCAGGCACCCCAAGCATATGTACTTTTAATGTTGAAAGATATTTGTCAACTACTTAGTCATTTTATTGTGCAAATATGTATGTAACAGAGGAGGGAAGGAAGAATGCTCCAGAAGCTTGGGGACTCTAGTGTTTGAAAAGTCTCAAAGTGTTCTGATGGTATTTTATAGTCTATTTCCCTGAGATAGTTGGGGATCAGAGTTATGCCCTACCCAGCTTTCACACTTTCTTTCACACTTCTGCTCTGAAAGTAATGACAGATGTTTGGGTTTTGTAGGAGCTGATGACCATTTTCCAACTATTGCACTGGAATGGAAACCTAAAAGCCCTACGTGAAACAAAGTGTTCCCGACAGGTGAGATTTTCCAGTCAATAATGGGTTTGTGTCATATGAACTGAACAGATGGCTTGTCATCCTCCTAGATTTCCTTTATTTGGATTTTTCTCTGTTTAAATCTGGTACTATATCTATTAAGAGCAGAGGATTTATGAAAAAATATAACAGTCCACTTGAATCAGGGACTGATCAAATATGCACACTAAGGAGAACATTGCCTGCACATAGGATTGATTAGGTACCTGTACTAAATGCCAAAATGGAGGGATCATTAAAACAGACTTGGTTTCTAAGTCAAATGCTGAATCTCCCTATGCACCTGCCCTGCCTTAGAATTTGTGCCGTTTTCTACTCTCCAGTGCAGAAAGAAATTTGAGGATGCACTGCTTCTGAACCTCCTCACTGAAGAGTGGTAAAGTTGGTTGTAGCAGGAGGATTTTTGTCACCCCCACCAAAAGTCCCCAAAGGATAACAGAAATGATTATAAATTTGGGCAAGCTGGTATTCAATCACCTCAATTTTGGGGGTTGGAAGTTTCCTCTTTACTTCTCAGAAATGAGGTCTCCCTATTTCTTTGTTACCTATGAGAAGCACCATTCCCCCCTTTTTTTTAATAGCAAAAGCAAATTCCCTCCTGTGTCTTTAACAGTTTTCACCTTCTATCCTCCAAGAGTCATCCTTCCTTTTTGCACCAGTAGACTTTGAAAGGTGGCCGTTTATTTTTGAGAATTTGCTAACAAGAATTTGTATGAGGAATAAAGCCTCTACCAGTCAGCTAGATGTGGGTGGATATAAGAGTTTTCCATGCACTGCAGCCCAGGAGTTTTTAGTTGTTCTTTGGTTAGAAAGTCTGGCTTTCAAAATGTCAAAGATGGAAAAGAAATGAGTAGTTGACAATGGCTATGGCTATTTTTTTCTTTTCCTTTGATTTTATAAAAGGCCTTTGAAATTCACTGGGTTGGTTATAAACACTTTTCCATGGTTGTTTTTAATTTGTTAAGGTCATAAATAAATACCATATGTTCTTGAAAATAAAAATAAGCAATGCATCCACTCTACAAGATCTTCTTAAAGTGTGTCCTTCAAACCTGTACATGATGTTACAAGGTATTGGCAAATTTTTCACATGAGAATTGACAGTGATTAATTTCAAATTAGTTACAGAAGAGATGATGTACATGAAGGTACCATTATGATATCAATAATGATATTGCCTACAATCCACAGTACATTCTTAAAGTTCTTTCTGTAGTTTCTGTGAGCCATTTGGACTGCCATCTATCTTCCTTATGCTAACAACCAGGAAGTTGACTCTCCTGGTTTCTAAGCCTCCTGCTCTCTGCAATGGGTGTGACCAAACCCAATTCTGCCCTAATCCTTCCATATAATTGTTTCCATCTCTCAACCTTGCTGAAGGAGATAATGCTGGGCAGAAGAGTTCAAGGAATCAATAAGGCAGTAATATTCATGCATAAAGGGATGCATTTTCAAAGGAAGACATTTTCTAGCAAGGTCAGAGTTCTGTTTGTGAACATTATTGAGTCATTCTTCGTGGTAGTGTTTTGACACAACCTAAAGTGACCCTGCTTTGCCTGACCAGCTTAGTCCTTCATTTGCTTTAAGAAGTATATCTTGAGATTTGGCTTCCATTTGTGAACATCAGAGAGGTTCAGTTGTTGGCAAAACCCCTATGGATGTGGATGTGGGGGGTGTCAGAGACAAAGGAAGTGAGGTGTTGGAAGGCCATGAACACAGGTGCCTTTGTTGCTCTTCACTGACACTCTGGACTTTGTCTCTTGGCTCCCAGGAAGTCATCTCCTACTATTCCCAGTATTCCCTAGATGAAAAGATGCGCAGTCACATGGCCCTGGACTGGATCATGAAGGAGAAGGAGTCACCAGGAATCCTCTCTCAAGAGCTACGGATGGCCCTGAGGGAGTTGGAGGAAGCCAGGAAAGCGGGACAAGAACTGCGGTTTTACAAAGAAAAGAAAGAAATCCTGAGTTTAGCCCTGACTCAGATCTACAGTGATCCTGACACCTCCTCACCCAGTGATGATCAGCTGAGCCTAACGGCTCTCTGTGGCTACCACTAGCAAGGCCAGGTCCCGGCTCCCCCGAGGTTGGCAGAGGCCGGACTCTATAGGAAGCTCAGTGAAGGAGGTCATCAGAGGCTTTAGCACCTACAGCTACTACCTGAAGGCGGTACTAATTTTTCCCATCCATTCCATTCACAGAATCTGAGAGTAGTAGGACCTTTACAGGACCCAACATTCCACTCGATGCAGTTTTCCCATCATGCTTTCAGGAGTTCCACCTCTTACTGAAAGGATGGAGACAAGATTGTTGGAAAAATATTTTCCAAGTTTGGCTTCAACTTAAAGCCCTGTTGACATGTGCCTTGCTAGATTCTATGTGTTGTTTTAAACAATGGGCCAGTGTAGCACTCCCCCAAAAGAACATCATCCAAGACTGGTGAAAGTAGCATGATAGCAATTTTTAAAAATACTTGGGGTTAAATAAACGATATAAAAAATACCATGGGTCAGAGTTTCTTCCTAAGCTTTATAAGCTAAGAGGGACTTCTACTCTACTAGGTGTAATCCAAAATTGCAGTGGGGATTTTATCTGGACATCCTACTATCAAAGTGATAATAGTAAGAAAATAACTTGATAAATTTAATTTGCCTTAAAATGCCAGTAATAATCATTTTTTTAAATCTACACTCTTCCATATGGGGATGTCACCTAGAGTAGTACCTTCACTTGTATTCCTCAAGAAGAATTAATATCTAATTTTTATGAGTCCTGGAGTCAGTCACGTTCATTTATAATTTTCAAATAGATTACTTAAATTGATTTGTTTTTATTTTTGCCACCACAGTCATATATCTCATAATGGAGATAATTACTGGCATTCTAAAGGTTAAAGCATTTTGAAAAATCATTAGCTTTTAACAGTGCTTGTGTTTGATTAGTTTCTCATGCATTAGAGAGGAGTTTTTAGCTGTCTTTTTGTTGTTCAAGAATATGAGCCATGAGTAGCTCAAATGTAGTGTCATTTTTAGGTTTTAATTAGGCATCTCTCTTTGAAAATGGCTTGATTAGAAAACCAAAAGCAAATACAGATCAATTTTTCGATAGTTTCTGGTCACTCAAGTTTAAGAATGGCAGTGGTATCAATTTTAAACATTTGTACGAATTTCCATATTTATAACATGAAAAGGATTATCTTGCAGTTAGTCCAAAATTTCAAAATAAAGAACACAATTTTTTCAATGTTAAACAAGGTTTCTTTTTCTTCATGTTTAGGCAAATGCAAACTAAGTTTCCTGAAGGCTAAAACCACTATATTTACATTAAAATTCACAGAACCATGATAGTTTAACTTCATATCTAAATATGTACAGATGATGTAATTGTCACTCCTTAAGTCTCTGTGAAAACTACATATATTGATCATGTATTTTGGAAGTAGCCTTGATAACAAAAAATTAATTTCATATATTTCTCACACCAGGGGAGAATTTAGCTTCATATCTGCCCTAATGTGGAAAGGTAATACTATATAATATTAGATAAATTTAATTTTAAAATATTATTTTTACAAATGTCATATTCCTCCCCATAATGAGGCTAAATGTCACCTAGAATAAAACTGTATTCCCTTATAATCCCAAAAAGGAATTAGAAGTAATATTTGTAAGTTGAATAAATTTTAAAATTAAGGAAACTTTCTATTTAAAGTAATTATTTCATAAAGTCATTACTCTTTATCATTTCAAAAAGCCATAATTTCCCATGTTGGGTGTATTTAAAGGTAGGTATATCTTTGCTAGCATTTGCAGACTTTGAAAATGTGCACCTCAAGCTGACATCATCTAATTAGATACAGGAACTGGAATCAGCTGGGAAAACAGTAAATTTATTTTCTACCCTACAATCAGAAAATTGCACCATTCTGTAAACTAAAAGCAGAGGTTCTCCCTTGGCCAAAAAGGCAGTTTTTCCCCAGCCGGTCAAAACTGCCCACTCTTCCTGGAATGGCATGGAACCTACAGCAAAAGCAACAAAAATCAGAATCTTTGCCGTTGCTGAGCCCTTTGATGCTCATTTATAGCAAATCAATGTCAGCTAAGACATAAGGTACATCAGTCAATACCTGTCAGTACATCACTTAAACATTTATAATTCCGGACCCAAGAAGAGCCAGGTTGAAAAGCAAAGTAGATTCTCCCTCTGACCCTCTTCCCTCTCGTGCTATCTCTCATTCTCTCTCTCAAATAAATAAATAAAATCTTTAAAAAAAAAAAAAAAAAAGGGGGCGCCTGGGTTGCTCAGTTGGTTAAGCGACTGCCTTCGGCTCGGGTCATGATCCTGGAGTCCCGGGATCAAGTCCCACGTCGGGCTTCCTGCTCAGCGGGGAGTCTGCTTCTCCCTCTGACCCTCTTCCCTCTCGTGCTTTCTATCTCTCATTCTCTCTCTCAAATAAATAAATAAAATCTTTAAAAAAAAAAAAGCAAAGTAGATTATTACTATTTTTCCTTTTCTGTATCTCATTCTCAGTGACACACTGTGTTAAAGAGGATTGCAGTGGAGGATTCTCTATTTAAATATATGGAGCTCTGGGTCCTAAACTTTTGTGGTTATAACCCCTTTGAAAATCCGATGAAAGTCATGGACGTCTTCGTAGGAAAACAGAGTGCGGTATATACATTCAAATTTGCACAGTTTCAGAGAATTTGTGGACTTTTCCAAAGTCCATGGATTGCTCTGTCCAAGAACCTCCAGTTTAGAACTCTTATTTTGAGCACACACTTACTGTCTCTTAAACATTTCAGGAGGGATCCAAGCTAGTTCAGACATAGCCCCATGTAGCCTATTTCTAAGATAAATGTCATTATCCTTACATACAGCATTGTACTGTATCTTTTTTCTATTAATTTTTTAAATAATTTTTATTGTTATGTTAATCACCATACATTACATCATTAGTTTTTGATGTAGTGTTCCATGATTCATTGTTTGTGCATAACACCCAGTGCTCCACGCAGAATGTGCCCTCTTTAATACCCATCACCAGGCTAACCCATCCCCCCACCCCCCTCCCCTCTAGAACCCTCAGTTTGTTTTTCAGAGTCCATCATCTCTAATGGTTCATCTCCCCCTCTGACTTACTCCCCTTCATTCTTCCCCTCCTGCTTCTTCTTCTTTTTTTTTTCTTAACATATATTGCATTATTTGTTTCAGAAGTACAGATCCATGATTCATCAGTCTTGTACAATTCACAGTGCTCACCATAGCACATACCCTCCCCAATGTCTATCACCCAGCCACCACATCCCTCCCACCCCCACCACTCCAGCAACCCTCAGTTTGTTTCCTGAGATTAAGAATTTAATTTTCACAAAATCCAAATATACCAAATTGTTATGAAAAAGCAGCTGAAAACAAGTCACTAAATGTGTGTGAACCTATCAGAATATTACCAATTTAATGAAGTCATTGTTCCTCTAATGATCAGAATTTGGTTGTCCATTTGTTCAAAAGCTATAGTTTACTGATCTGTTTTCTGTTAAATTCATTCACTTACCTCTACAAAAGGAGAAGAATAAAATTGCAAATATTCTTGAAATGCTGTACGCACAACTTTGAATCTGATCACTTATGTCTCAGGGAAAAGAGGAAAAAAGCATTTAAGATTAACACTTCCCTGTTTCTTTGTGGGAGACTTTTGAAGCTAGCAGTATTGGTGTAGTTGACTATCTCTGAAATGCTTTAGAGAATTCTGAGTTATATCATGCCATGCCTTTCTTTCTTGCCAAAGGACAGAAGAAGCCAAAGAATATTTTCATTATCCTTGACTATGTTTACAAGTAAACACTATTCAAGATATTATCACTTACATATTGTTGATACTTTTTTGTTTTGCCTTGCAGAAATGCAAATATTAAGTTTTCTTCTATGGCATCTATGGTGTTAAAGAGTGAATACCGTTTTTAGCCAGGGCTCTTAGGAACATGAAAATCATTTTCTCTACCACAGTTGTTCTCAACTTTGGCTGCACATTAGAAATAATTAAGGAGCTTTAAAAAATCCTAAATGTCTAGACTATACCCAGACCAGTGAAATCAAACTCTCTGGAAGTGGGGCCCAGGCATCAGTATTTTTTAAAACTCCCCAGGTCGTTTCAATGTGCAGGAGGGTTTGAGAATGACTGCTCTACCCAGGAAGGTCTGGCCCAGAGGTCCTTGGCCGAACTAGTGGGAGCTATTACTCCACTTGGCCTTGGCCCCAATTCAAATGTTGAGCTCTTCTGAGCTAGATAGGACTTGTTTGAGCAACAGGCTTTCCTGGAGCCCAGAACTAAAGTAGGGCAAGCACATGCATGCATGTGTATGTACACACACACACACACACACACACACACACTGTATCTTAGCAGTACAGCCAGATTCTGCCCCAGGGTTCAGGCTTTCTTTCTCAAATATGATACGTAAAATATCCATACCAGAATCATCTGGGGTACTCATTTAAAAATAAAAGTTCCTGGGTCACACCCAGACCTGCTGACCAAATTACAGGAGAAGGTCTGGATAATTTACCACTTTAACAGGTGTTTCTGATCAAACTTAAATTTGAGCTCTTTTGGCCTAAAGCTACCTAACACATTCTTCAGTGGGCAGCATAGCTCTGCCCCTTTGGATGTAACCAGCCTCCTGGGGTAAAGTGCAGAAAGGAATAAAGGAGAGAAGGGAATGTTGCCCCTCTACCCTTTCTGGAAGCTGGAGAAAAACAGAAGGGGCAAAGAGAGATGGCTGCCTTTTTCCTACCGAAAGAGCAGCTCCCACTCTTTTATCACTTTGGCCTTAACATTTGTTATTACTTTTAATCCCTTTACCAGAGACCATAGAAATCTCTTTCAGCTCCTGTTAAAGTCGCTTCTTTAAGCCTGATTAAACCCTGGTAGCACTTTGTACTTTGGAACAAAGTAAGTTGAGGGAAAGGCAAGCAGAAGCTTCTTCCTGAGAGCTGTTGACCTGTTGATTCTCTAGTGGTTTGCAAGGGAAAATTACTATATATATATAGTATATGTACTATATATATATATAATCTATTTATAATATAGATTTATATAATATATAAATATCTATTTATAGCAGTTCCCAATTGTAGCAGCAATTATGTACCACAAATACATTTGTAAGTCAGATGTTCAACCCTGAGGGTGCATTTTTCTATAAAAGCAAAGTCATAAATGGTGGCAAGTTTCCTGAGCTAGCCTACATAAGCAGTAGGGCACCTCAAATATTGATCTATGGAAACTAACACATTCTTAGGTTGTGGGTGGGCAGGGGAAGGTAGAACAAGGTTAGCTGTGGGTCTAGGGTATAATATTGAAAACCTCCCAGGGTGTATTTCTCAGCCCCAAACTGGTTCTCCAGTCTCTTTATTTTCTCTTTGTCCCCCCATAGATTACCTTGCCAACACCCCACCCACTGCCATCACTTGTTGCTTCTTCTGATCATGGTTTCTTCCATTTGCTGACTTACTGAAGAAAAGGTAACTTTTTCCTGCCTTCTTACAAACTCTTTGAAAATTTCTAAGAGTTGGTATCACTAGAGAAACAGGAATATTTGTGTGACCTCCAAATGGCAACAACTAAGCTTCTCTGCAGACTATTTTCACCAGGGCTGGTGAGGAAAGACACAGACACACAAAGCAGGACTACACTGAACAGGGTAGCCACGGAACCTGTCCCATGCACCCATACTCCTAAGGTTTCCTGCCTCTTTGGTGTTCTCATTGGGCTCCATGTGACACTTCCCCATACTGATCACAGCTGCCCCATAACTAGCCAGTGATTCTGGGTAACCTGGCTCAAAACTCCAAACTGGACTGATCAGTCTGTCTCCTCAGGAATGTGAACTAAGAAACATGGAAGGAATTTGCCAGGTTGAGTTGGGAGAGGAAGTTGGAAGAGTCACCTTCACGAGAGCTGTGGTCTGTGCAAGCACAAGTAAGGAGGAAGAAGGAACCACGAATCAGTAGAGGATGCAGCTCTGTAGAAAGA